AAAGGGGTAGGCCCATAGGCGTGCTTGCCGTTCAGGGGGAGGGGGGGTTTGGACGTTTATTACAGGGCGCCGTCTCTCTATTAATTCAGTGTATGAGGCAGATTTTGCGCCCCCCCTTTTAGATGACTAAAAGAGTGCCCCGCCACTTAGACAATATATAGAGCAGATTTAGCGCCCCCCTTCCAGGTGAGTTGGGGGGGGGGGGGGGGGGGGGCGCTTCTTTTGTTTCCCTCATGCGGACGCCTATGAGTAGGCCTTTCGGAGAAACTCTTCGCATTTGTAGGCGCTCTTGTAACCCCTTTTTCAAGGTGGCTTAGCTACAACGAGCCTCAAGGTGACAGCTTGAAAGAGCTTGTTTCCTGATTGAAAAAAAAAAAAAAATGTCACATTGGGCTGCGCACAACATGGTCCGAGCCTCACCAATCAAGTGAACAATTTTTTTTTTCTGCTCACCCATTTGCACTCCACAAGAAGCAAGCATCTTCTTGAAGTACCTGAACCTCAGGCGCGTCACCTAGGCTCTCAGCCCAAGGGAAACAATGTTCTGTGAGGTGCTTGTGGACTATAAAACTTTTTGGGGGGGGGGGGGGGAGATAAAAAAGACGCGCGACCAATCATTGAGAACGCATTGTTGTAAACAGATAGCGAGTCACTACTTAAAAATGCGTTGTACGACTATTGTGCAGAAAAAAAAAAGGTTTTCATCCAGATAACGCTCGTGATTCTCATCTCTGACTTTGACATTACAAATGATGGGGCTTTATATATAGATTAGTCCTTGAGCAAATGATGATTCGCCGTTGAAGGTGTTGCAAGCAATGGCTCACAACTCAGTTCATCGTTCCACTCTTCTACCACTTCACACCGATAAAAGGCTTCAGTGCCTTGATGCGCTCACTTTCGGTTCCCTGTCGATATTTCGCTTCAGTCGCGCACCCGCGTAGGCATCCAATGATTCCAGAAGCTAATTAACATATTTTCTCGGTCGCCATTTGAAACCATGCACGAGCAACAAAATATATTTTAAATGTATCACATTGCCCACTCGCGTGATTGACTCCCATCTCTTTGCAGCGCATTGCCAGCTATGGTGACGTTGCATGGATAGATGGATGTGGCTGTACCCTTTAGATCGGGCGGCGGTTCCACCACTTAGCCGTAACACTTAGTGAACTAACCACTAGATTTATCTTTTTTTTTCCCCTTTAAATAGTGAAGTCAAAGACTGGTACTTTGCAGTGAAAGGTTCAATTTTCACTCGTGCCTTGACTTTAGCCACCAGTAAGATAACCTTCTAGTTAATTCTACCCGCTTATAGTCTATTTTGCCCTCTCTGTCCCTAAACCCCAGAGCTTTGAAGAACTCTGCGCCATCATTCTGAACTATAGGGTGAAGCCCTTTACAGAACATTATCAAGTGTTCGGCAGTTTCCTCCACCTCTCTACATGCAGTGCATACCGCGTCTACCCCTTCGTATTTGGCCCGATATGTCTTGGTTCGCACTACTCCTGTCCTGGCCTCAAACAATAGAGAACTACCCAGAGTATTATCATAGATCCTTTCCTTGGCAATTTCCTGCTTAAAAGTTCTATAGATCTCTAGTACAGATTTCTTAATCATGCCAATTCTCCACTTGTCAGTCTCCGTTTGCTTCACTTTCTTCTTAACCGATAGTTCTTTTTGGTTTAGCCACCTGCTGTTTTCTATTTACCAGCCCATTTCCTGGTTCGCTTCCTCCATTTTGTATCGACATTCTTCATGTACAAGTAGCTAAAAACCTTCCTAGCCAAACGCTCCTCCCCCATTTCTCTCAATCACGTCTCAAATTTTTGTCTTGCTGCTAGCTTCCCTGCCCTCAAATGATGTCCATCACATATCACCATGAACTCCCTGTTTTGGTGTATTCCCGTGAGCTCCTAGAGCAAACCTACCTATTCCACGTTGCTTAATTTCTAATCATGCTTGAACTTCCGATCTGATACACAAGACCGCCTTGCCGAACGCCAGCCCAGAAACCATGACCCCTTTCCATATTTCTCTCACAACATCCTACCTATTGTAATTCCACAGTGCCCTATTTTTCATCACTGCTGCATTTCCGTTACCTTTAGTCGTCACGTATCTTTTGTGTTCCCTTAGGTACTAGGTCCCATTGCTTATCCATACGCCCAGATATTTGTATTTATCTGTTATCTCTAGCGTGACCTCCTGTATTCTAAGCTCACTACCTTCGTTGTCATTGAAAATCATGACTGCTGATTTTTCCTTACTGAATCTAAAATCTAACCTATATCCCTCATTACCGCAGATGTCCATCAATCTCTGCAAATCTTCCTTGTTGTCGGCCATTAGCCCTATATTATCTGCGTACATCAATACTGGTAGTGCCTGTTCAATGAGTTTTCCTTGTTTGACGAAAGAAAGTTTGAAGCCCAGTCCACTTCCCCTTAATTTGGTCTCTAATCCTTGTAGGTACATCATGAATAACAAGAGTGACAGAGGACACCCCTGCCTAAGCTCCCGTTTTACCTCTGCAGGCTTGGTTACCCGTTTTTCCCACTTTATAACTACCTTGTTACTTTTATAGATTTCCTCTAAAAGATTAGTGACTCCATCTTCCACACCTAGTGTGTCCAGTATTCCCCACAAGTCCTCTTGAACCACGCTATCGTACGCTCCCTTGATATCCAAAAATGCTAGCCACAGGGGCCTGAGTTCCTTTTCTGCTCTTTCGATGCACTGCGTTAGTGAGAATTGATTGTCTTCCAACCTCCTGTATTTCTGAAACCCATTCTGCATTCCCCAGCACCCCCTCATCCTCTATCCATGCCTGCAGTCTTTCTTTTATAAGCTGCATCGCCAGCCTGTAGACCACTGATCTCACTATTATAGGACGGTAGTTGTTTATGTCAGCTTTGTCCCCTTTTCCTTTATAGATCATGCTCATCCTGCTAAGTTTCCATCCATCGGGGACTTCAGCATCGATTATTGTTCTGCTCACTGCCTCTCTCAGTCTGTTTAGACTTCGGACCCAATGTCTTCATCAGCATAATTGGAATGCCATCTGGGCCTGTTGATGTACTACTTGGAACGCTCTTCTCAGCCCTTTCCCACTCTCGTTGTGAAAATGGAGCCATTGCGCCACTTGATCCATCCTTGTCTATTGTGGTCCATAAGGCACTTTTTTGTAAAAATTTTTCTGTCACCCTTGTTTTTATACATTCAATAGCTTCGTCTCCTTCTAGCCTAGCACCTTGAGCTGTAGTTATAAACCTTTGCTGTAGGCTTGTTTCATTTCTTAGGGAGTTTACATGGTTCCAAAATTTCAGAGTTGCCTTTCTGTCCTTTTTATGTACTTCTGCCAGCCACTGAGCACCCTTTTTTCTAATCTTTTCATTGTTTTGGAGGGATGCTTCCCTTCTAGAGCTTAGAAGGATGTCCCATTTTCTTTCAACATCATCTGTCGGTTCACCCCGCTGCTTAGCATGTTTGTGTTCCCTAGAGGCTTCCTGACGTTTGGCTATGGCTCTCTTAACTTCCTCATCCCACCAATTCTTGGGCTGGTGGTGGCAGTAGCACACATGCAAATGTGTGCCACCACCACCTAGCCGTTTCCTCCCAACGCGTTACGCGCTAGCCGGCGCATTCATCACACTTCCCTATTCTAACCACTGTACCAAAACTGAAACTGATTGATAATGAGGGGCTTGTAATTATCTGTCGCGTGCTGCAGCAAACGACGTGCCATGTCATGACTAACAGGCCCCCAGCAACACATTGCAGCAGAAAAACGCGAAGCCAAAGTGTTTTTGTGTCAGTACCACTTTAAGCACAAGGCCATATATGACAACCTAAAATCTTCGGCATCTTTTATTTTAGCACTACTCCTATATCTATAACAGCCCACCGTTCCTTGAACACAGTCAGCGGTGTGATATCCGACAGTGACCTCCTGAAACTCAGAAAGGCTGAACTTTTTGATGGATTAAAAGACCATGCAGAATGTCATCCAAGTGCAAAAAATCAAAATTTGGAATCAAGAAGGACACGCGTCTTTCGTGTTCTTCTTGTCTCTGTGTTGTCGTTTTGGTCTCGCGCTATAACTAACTCTCCCGTCAAGGAAAAAAAAGTGGAAGGGGGTATGCGCAGCGGTTTAAGAATTTTTCGGCCTTGTTCTATTTAACAGAATTCTGCTTAAGCCACCTTCGCCGCATTACACTTTTGTCCCGCAGAAAAGTGTCTTGTGATTTGGAAGGGGCTGTTAGCACTAGTCACGAACGCAGCACATTTTGTTAAATTATACATGCGTGTAAGCACCACGTTACTGTGAGTACTCAAGTGATCGCTTGCGTCTAAAAGAGTTGCTTGTAAGCATTTGGAGCAGCGAATGACACTTCTGCTGCCTACCCCCTCCAAAAAAAAAAAAAGAAAAGAAAACCTTGAGTGCCAGTTTTTTTTTCGCCATCCCTACGCCTCGGTTTTACGAATATTCTGAATTGCAAGCTCGCCAGCTTGGCAGAGCCACATTTAAATTCGCAGAGTCTGTCAAAGGATTCGGCTGGCACAACAAATGCTAATGTGGACTTCATTGTTTGCTCAGTGGGGTAATTCAGAATACTACTTTTATTCGAATACAAGTGCTCATGTTCACTATGCAAGATTTAAGTGATTTGAATGTTTTGTAAATATATTCCTTTAAACGTAAGCCTTCCTTTTCATAATGCTCCAAAAGTGGTCCTTTATACAAACAATTTTCCCATGATCAGCTCCAACATTAGATTCTAGTGCTCCAAAAGTAACATTTTGCTACTCCATTTGGTGGAGAGTAAGAGGAGGCACTGGCTCAAAGACTTGACTAATTGAGAGAAACACCTGTTATGTTTTTTTTTTTTTTTTTGTAAAAGACCACTTTCACCAAAATGTGAAAAGTGGACCGAGACCCTACAGCACCTCCTTTGGCTATGGACCTGAACATAGGGTACGCAACGGCCATCACATGCTGGAAAATAGCCATTTATTTATAAAACCGCAACGCAACGATACAGTCATACATAACACTTGCAGCAACTTGCTGCAACAAATTGGATTGTCTATAGAACAAGGTGCGTAGAGTTGTTACTTCATTTTATACTTTATATGGTCGACCGCGATTCGCGAGTGTCGTCACCTAACAAGTATATATAACTTGCTCCGTGCTTTATGGTTCGGGTCTGTTGCTTGGTTTGATTGATGACGCAAAGTGCAGGTGGCCAATGTGGCCTCCATTTCGCGCTAAATTTAACGCATGTTAGATAAGTTTGAGGCTGCATGGTCGGGCATTTTGGCACAGCGTGACGCAATTTCAGCAAATTTCGTGGTTTTGGCACAGCTCGGCGCAACGAAGGGGAATTGTATCAAATTGGCACAGCTGTTGCACCCCTTTATTTGTCAGATGATGATAGAGTGACATGTAAATAGGGTATTTTAAAGGGACTGTCAGCAAAGAGCATTTGCTGACATTTAAGTACAAATGCATATCATGTAGCCAACTTTCTATGGCTGTTTATGCCTGTAATATGGTGTATAGTTTGTGAATATCATCTTCTGATGCAAAAAAAATGCAATGTCATCAGCATACACATATGTCTGTAAGTCCGTATGTCGTGGAATAGAGCTCATTAAGATATTGAATAACACTAGTGAAAGGACTGCCGCTTGAGGGGGGATGCCTCTTGTGTGCGAATACGTGTAGCAGATGAGATATCCCGCTTTGGAAACAGAAGAACGTTCTATCTCGTAAGAATTTCACAATCCATGCCTGAATATATCTCGGAAAGTTACGGTTTTGGAGCCGATTATTTAGAACTACGTGCTCTACCCTGTCCAGTGGGACTAACACAGCATATTTCCTTTCACACCTAGCCAACTGAATGCGAGTCTTCAAGGTCTATATGAGCCTGACATATAGAGCATCCTGCTGAGAAGCCAATTTGGTATGAATTTAGTGTTGCATGTTCATTGATTAAAATGAGGATGCAAATATTTTTCTATCAATTTTACAAATATTGGAGTTAGCACGATAGGCCCAATGCTGCCCAAAACATATCCCTTACCCGGATTTTTAAGTAAAGGTATCACCTTCCGAATCTTTCACTCTGATGGGAGCCACGCCATTCATAATAAGTAATTATACACATCTAATAAATATTCTTGGCATTCCTTATTTAGCACTTTCAGCATAGCCGTGGTGACTCCGTCCAGGCCCGGAGCGGCTGATGGAAGGCTAGATAACACCTTCGATAATTCAGCCCCAGAAATTTCAGTGAATTCCTCATCACTTATTGCATTCATTGTAGGAGGTGATAATTGTGAATAAAAATGATGATCTAACCCCCAGTCAATTATACTTCCAATGAGTCTTTTATTTATTAGAGAGACAAAACAAAAGAATCTGAATTTACAGGCAGCGGAATCAATTCATTTTTATGCAGAAACCTATATAGTGCATTTTTATAGTTCGATTTGGAGAGATAGTCAAACTTCCGAACATCGTACTGAGAAGTGGCTGACCTAACCCAGTTTTTTCCTCCTCCTAGTGCTCACCGATATCACGCTAATGGCTCACTGTAAAGCACAATAAAGGTGAAACAGAGACTTGAAAATTCAGGCAAAAAAAAAAGCCACTGAAAAATGTTTTAAAGCTATAACTACCACAGAATGGTGGACGACCCTCCCCTTGTCGTCGAAGTCTAGAAATTCAAGCTGACACTTTGTGGTCAGTGATGCAAACACGTCATTACTTTCGTACGAAGTTTCATGCCTTTCGCCGCTTTCTAGAACTAGAAATAATATGTTCCTTACCTTTTCATCCAATGTTATTAGGCTAACCATAGATGTAATTACTAGTACGTATATCTGCCTCCCGACTGAGGGCCACTGTCTACTTCTATATCTATTTACCAGAGTTTTAATTACTACTCCAAACCACCAACAAAATAGGATACAGCCTTAAAGACAGCACCTGTCAGCACTTGGAAACTTTTTGCATTTATTTTCATGCACATCAACTGCCCGTAAAACATACTCTCAACATAACAATCACATAGAAGTAGGCAATCAGACAAGCTACTCATCAGTTGTCAGGAAACGTCAGAGTGGGAATGCAACAGCAAAACTCCGACACTGTGGACATTTTTAAGCCAATAATGTCAAAATTCAGCGAGACAGGAAGAAGTTAGGAGATAATAAACGCATGAGAAGGAGGGTTTATCCAGGGCACTCAGCTGGGCTAAGCTCACAAGGTTAGAAGTTCGAAACTTTGCTGTTTTTTTTTAATAATGGAAATAGGGACTTTGAAACAGTTGAGAAAAAAACCAGATGAACTACGAATCATGTGAAGTTCAGAGCTGATAGGCAGTAAGGTGGTATTCTACAATGCTAAGAAAGTGCAGCAGAACCCTCTTCTTAGAGGTAGCGCAGCAACCTAGCATGGAATGACAAAATTCAGCTCGAATGCAGATACCGAACCATTCCCAATCGCATACTTACTTAAAATGCGTGATAAAGTATCATTAAAAAAAGAAAACAATAACAAGAGGTCTGCAGTGCGGCATCACTGGCGACCAGCTGCCGGTAATGGACTCCTTCACCAGAGCAGGATTGGCCACCCTGGTGCAGTACCTGGCCGCAACCTTCCGTGAATACAGCAATTGACCCTTGGCCCTCAGTACCCAGTGGCTGCGAAGAAATTGTCCAAGGCGGCGGTGAGACCTGCAACGCAGTGGAGGGTGCTAAGAATCTCTGGGTCCGGACAGGCTGCTATTAGAATCTGAACTTTGCTACCTTCAACGCTATCTAGTGAGGCTAATCTAACTGTGCTATTCAAGGAATTAGAGGGTGTAAAATGGGATCTAATAGAGCTCAGCGAAGCTAGGAGGGCAAGTGAGGCTTTCACAGTGCTGAAGAATGGACAGGTCTAATGCTACCGTGAATTAGTTTACCGAAAAGAATTAGGGGCGAGGTTTTTTTACACACAAGAATATCGCTGGCATCATAGAGGAATACTATGGCATCAGTGAGAAGGTGGCAAATATCATATTTAAGTTTCACAAAAAGTAAAAGATGAAGGTGGTAAAAGATTAAGGCGGTACAGGCCTAACATGCCTAAATCGAGCCATGATAATCATTTGGTTGAACGCTTCTATGAAATCGTAGAGTCAGCCATTTATAAAGACACAGTATACTACTCTGATTGGCGACTTTAATACCAAAGTAGGCAAAAAAAAAGCCGGAGGCCATGCAGTGGGGGAATATGGCATCGGCTCGATAAATGCCAGAAAGGAGTTATTAGTAGATTTCACACAACATAATAATGTACGGATCTTTAATACCTTCTTCAAAAAACAAGCTAACCGTAAGTGGACGTGGCGAAGTCCTAATGGTGAAACTAAGAATGAAATAAACTTCATTTTGTGTGCACACTCGGGCATTGTACAAGATGTAGAAGTAGTTGGCGAGATCCAATGCAGTGACTATAGAATGTTAAGAGCTCATATTCATCTAGATTTTAAAAAGCAACGACAAAGACTAATACGCAGAAAGCCAAGTAATGAACTAGCAGTGAGAGGGGAAGTACAGGCATTCAGAGTTTCGCTTAAGAATAGACTCGAGGCACTGAATGAGGTAACGACATTAGCGTTGACAAAATGAATGCTAATCTTACCACTATCATCAAAGAGTGTGCTATGAAAGTCGGATGTACAGCCACTAGACAGGACACTGGCAAACGATCTCAGGAGACGAAAAATTTTATTAAGAGACAACAAACCATGAAAGCCTCGAATGCAACCGACAAAATAGAGATAGTGGAGCTTTCGAAGTTAATCAACAGGTGTAACGTAGCCAACATGGAGAGAATTGATCAGGCTGTAAAAAGAGGCGGAAGCCTAAAAGCTGTGAAGAAAAACGTGTATATAAGAAAAAATCGGATGTATGCATTAAGGAACAAGGAAGGCAATGTCATAACTAATATGGATAAGATAGTCGATGTGGCGAAGGAGTTCTGCAGAGAGCTGTACAACAGCCAAAAACAAGGATTATATTGCAAGAAACAATAATAGAACAGAGGAATTTGATATCCAACCAGTAACGACAGGGGAAGTAAGGAAAGCACGAGAAAAAATGCAAAGAGGCAAAGCCGGTTTAAGGATAAAGTAACAACGAACCTCCTAAAAGATGGTGGAGGAATTGAGTTAGAAAAGCTTGTCAGCTTATATACAAAGTGTCTGTCACCTTATATACAAAGTGATTTGTGGTATTACAATCTTGCAAGAACACCAACATCTTCTTAATCCATAAAAAAGATGTCAAGGACTTGAAAAATTACAGGCCGATTAGCTTACTGTCTGTTCTCTACAAACTATTTATAAAAATAGAATTGAGACGACATCAGAGTTCAATCAACCAAGGGACCAAACAGCATTTTGTTTAGGCTACTCCTCAATAGACCATATTCATACTATCAATAATGTAATAGAAAAATGCGCGGAATACAACCAACCCCTATACATAGCCTTCATAGATTATGAGAAGGCGTTTGACTCAGTCGAGATATCAGTAGTCATGCAGGCACTGCAAAATCAGGAATTCGACGAAGCCTATATAATCATAGTGGAAGAAATCTACAGCAGGTCTGGAGCCACCATAGTCCTTTATAAAGAAAGCGACAGAATCCCAATTAAGAAGGGTGTAAGGCAGGGAGGCACGATCTCTCTAATGTTATTCACCACGTGTTTACAGGAGGTTTTCATGGTCCTAGACTGGGAAGAGTTAGGGATAAGAGTTAATGGAGAGTATCTTAGTAACCTGTGATTCGCTGATGACATTGCCTTGATGAGCAACTCAGGGGACGAATTACAGCTCATGGTTACTGATCTGGACACGGAAAGCAGAAAAGTAGGTCTAAATAGAATATGCACAAAACTAAAGTAATGTGCAACAGTCTCAGCAGAAAACATTACTTTTCGATAGTGGAGAGACGTTGGAAGTTGTAAAGAAATATGTCTACTTAGGACATGAAGTGACAGTGGAGCCGAACCCATGAGAGTGAAATGATTAGAAGAGTAAAGGTGGGGTGGATCACAATCTGCAAGCATTCTCAAATAATGAGTGTTAATCTACCACTAACCCTCAAGAGGAAGATATATATAACAGCTGCGTCTTGCCATTACTTACGTACGGAGCAGAAACCTAAAGGCTTACAAAGAGGGTTCAGCTTAAACTGAGGACGACACAGTGAGCAATGGAAAGAAAAATGATAGGTGTAACCTTAAAAGACGAGAAGAGAGTAGAGTGGGTCAGGGAACAAACCGTGGTTAAAGGATATCATAGTTGAAATCAAGAAGAATAAATGGACATTTGCCGGGCACGTAGCAAGTAGACAGGATAACCGCTAGATTCCCAGAGAAGGCAAACGCACGAAGGAGAGACGGAAATTTAGGTGGGGCAATGAGATTAAAAATTTCGTCGGTATAACACGGACGGAGAGCACAAGACCGGGTTGATTGGCGGATCATGGGAGAGGCCTTTGCCCTGCAGTGGGCGTAGTCAAGCTGATGATAATTAATTGTGAAGTATTGTTTACTAGCAAACACAAGAAGTGATGTCCTTTTGAATATAACCTTCCGGATCGGTACTGTACAGCACAAGCTTCCAACCAAGTTATCAACTTATAGGATTAAAAAAAAAAAAAAAACAGGTACAGTGCACATGAGGTTAGAATCTAAATACTCTCCAGAGCGTAATGCGAGACGTTAACGCAGCGGTTATGCTTGTGAATGACACAATCCCAACAAAAAAATCTGATTTCACGCAGAGTGGCAATCCATATATTAGTAGTAGTATATTATGAATTGTAGTATATTACCCCCGCCCCAACCGGAAAAAAAAAAAGTGGCCGACAATTTCGACACCGACTAATGCGAATTCTGAGCTCAGCTGTTCATATTTTGCGATAAGTTGAGGCGCGACTGCCAAACCGCGGTAGACCGCGGACAGCGGCACTTGGGCGCGTTCCACAACAGCCTACCCAGACAGGCCTTCGTTTATGTAGCGCTTTATTTCCATTGTTGGTATCGGTATACGCCCTCGCTTCAAACCTAATAGAGGATTTTAGTCTGGCCGGCCCACCGCTATGGGCAAAACTGTTTGCGGATACCGCTTCACCAGGTGTGATCTGCGCATGCCTTACGTACGTTTACCGGACACGCTTAAACACCCGGACGTTTCCATGTTCGGCTGCGTTGACAGAATAACGTTGGCCAAGTTGAGAAATTTTTGGCGAGTAGAGTACGTGAGACAACAAAAGTATTGTGTAAATTTCTGCAAACGATACTCCGCCTACCGTAAAATTAATTTAGGTGCCGTCTTTCGACTCCTTAGATTAGATTTAAATGCCCCAAATGTACTTTCTTTAGTGGCTTCTTCTCTTAACCACTGTGACGAGTAGGTTACTGATGCCTTGTAGGAGTTTGTTAGACATGGGCGAGCGAGACGGCTGAGACTAAATTGGGAGCAGTTTTCGGAGCAGCAGAATTGCTTTGGAGCAGTTAGCGGCATTTAATATAGATTGATATGTGTGGCTTAATGTCCCAAAACCACCATATTATGAGAGACGCCGTAGTGAAGGGCTTCAGAAGGCACCTAATGTGTTGTCTTCGGAGCTTCTAAAATGACTCATCTAATAGCACCAACGCCTACCTTCACTAATTCAATGGGAAATGGCGCACGTGCTTACCTAACTATCGCAAGTAAACTGCTTTCACACTTACCTTTCGGAGATTTGGTCGACTGTCTTAACGTAACCAGCGAGAACATCCCCCTCCGTAGTTTCAACACGAACGAGCTTGTGCACGTACGACATTAGCAACAAAGGAGCGTCATAAGGTAAAGTGTCACCACAGAACACCTACCAGTTCACTAGTTGTCACAGTTTCACTAGTTGGTTGGGAAAATTGTTTCCTTCCTCCATGGATGCTCCATGGTTCGGAACTCCGTGGTTCGGAACAAACGTTGATCTCAGTGGCCATAACGTCGCCAGTCGGCTAAGTTATACGCGATCACAGTAACCGATAACTCCTCAAGTTCTCCATTCTGTCTTCGACGTACTATTCACTGAAGTATGCGGTACAGCAACCACAAGCTGGTGCTATAGTCACCTAAAACGCGCACAAGCAATCAAAGCAATCAAAGCGTCTGGAGCCTACATCACAACATGCGCTCCAGCATGGATTGGCCACAGAACGAGATTGGCCTGAAAGTTGGCTTCGATTTTTTTTCTAACTTGGCTCGGCTTTTTGTAACCTTATACTGGCCAATCAAAAAAGCAGTTTGGGTATGGCTGTAGCTTGTAGCATGGGGCATGTGACAAAAAGTCGGCCAATCAGACACGCCCGCGGCAACCGTTGGATTTTTCGTGCATCGACGCCCGCGTGCCCGCGTTGCTCGTGCATTGGTTCGTGTGTTCCGACGTGGCGCTTTGGACGTGAGCAGTCGTTTCGTTAAAAGATATCAATTCGTGTTGTTGTTAATCTTTACAGTGTGTGACCTCCGAAGTCTACCTGAGACTGACACCACTCTCACAGTCGTTGTAAACTTTGGCCATGGATCACGCTGATATCGACTTGACGTGAGTTGAATAAGCACCGCTCTTGGCGTCGTGATTGGTTGCGCACGCTATGCCTGATGTCTTGTGCACTTTCAGATTCAGCTGCCCGGTCTGCCTGGAACCGCGTCAGAGCATGGTTTTCGGCCGATGCCAGCACTTTGTGTGCGCGTCATGCTTATACGAACCCGTCAGCGGATGTTTGAAGGCTGCTTTTCATTGTTGTCCTTTGTGCCTAGCAGAGAAAGCATTCCCAGACTCCTGGTAATTGAGTGCGGTGACTTTGGATACGCTAATAGCTATTATACAAACTGCGTTAACCGAGTTTCGTTTTCATGCAGCCCGGAGATTCGAGAAACGACTAAACGGATGATGAAGCTTGTTGGCGTCGTGCAATGCCCCCGGAAACGGTGCGGCGAAGAAATGTGGATTTGGGACCAGGAGGAACACGAAAAGTAAGTCGTACTTTAGCTGCGACAGCTTGTTAGTTGGCGTGTTACTTTTGCACGCTACAGTTGCCTTGCCCATTGCTCATATGTAGATGCGTGTTGTGCCTTCTCTTTTCATTCATAAGACGTCCCGTGCTTGCAGAGTTTTTAGACGCGACTCTTTCCACTGCGCGGTAGGCAGCGGGGAAGATAAAATTCCGATGCGCAAAGCAGGCATAACGCGAAACGTGGGGAATTCGTAGTGTTTCTGCGTGCTCACGATTTTCCGTTCACGTTTTCATTGTGTGTGTGAGAATGCGATTTGCAGTTTCATTCTAACCAGAATCCGCGCTTGCTCGATGTACTACTGTCGACAGTGAACCGGAGCACTTGAACTGAACTTAGGTGCTTTTCTGGTTGTTGTCAATCATCTTATTGAACTTCGTTTTGAGCTGTGTTAACATATAACACGCTCTGCTTAACTTTAACTGGTGCTATTTAATGCTCCAGGAGCGAGAGTTGCCCTCTTATACCACTGCAGGAGTTGTTCAGTGACTAATGCGTTGCATCGCCGAGCACAAAGGGTACCGGTTGGATTCCAGACTTCAGGATCTGCACTTCAGTAGACTCGAAACACAAAAACAGTTGTGTTCTGTCATGGGCATTCTAAATGGGAACTTTGAAATTTCCTGATGGAGTCCATGTAGTGGGAAAGCATAAAACTTCAAAGGGAAAGACACTTTTCGAATACCAATACTGCACATTTGTATGTACACTGCAAGTAATCGTTCCTGAAATGTGAGTTCTGTGTTCCCTTTCATATTTCTCCCGACTGTAGTTGGACATCGAAGAATGCGCAATAGCCCACTCTGGTGTGCCTTCTAACAATATTGTGGTTCTGGTGTGTGAAACACCAGAAGGTAACTTTTTTTATTGGGGCATTGTGTGTTCAGCTTGTTGTGGGCAAGTTATTTTACATTAGTCGGTAGGTCCTGTGTAAAGAACAGTGTCTTTCACGTGGGTTTGTTATAGCCGGGCCTTTCCGCATCTCTGAAGCGTAAGCTGAATTTCAACGAAATGCTCTGCCCACGTATGTAGATCTACATGTGCTATAAACAACCCCAGGTGGTGGAAATTCTCCAAGCTCATCACTGCAATGTCCCTCATAATCATGATACGTTTTTAGGACATAAAACCACAGAATTTATTATCTTCTCCTGTGTCTGTCTGCATGCTTGCCCTCTTTCACAGTGAATCCCTACCAACTGACTAAACAGATTAGTTGACACTTGTGACACACTGTTTTAACACGAAAAAAAGACATGAAAAGCACAGGTAGAACACTACACGCTTGTTGTGTTCTTCGTTGTGTTGAAATAACGTGTCGCAAGTGTCAACCATATGCAACCAACTAGCCCATACTCTGGCCCCTCTGGCTAAACTTAAGTTGATTTATTAAAGTGTGGCCAGACCAAAAGCACACTTGTTACGATGGTCCTTGCAGATCCTGCCAGGGGGTGGTGACACGGTCATCATCACGGCGCTGTGGTTTACCCGAAAGTGCCAGCACTAGTCGGGGAGTCACCACCCGCCAGAGCAAGCAAAGGAGATGCAAGCGCTCTGCCCCGGTCGACAACTGAACGGGGCGCCATGCTTGCCCTACTTAAAAAATTCTTCATTGGTAAGCAGTTTCTGAAGAAAGTTTGCGAGTATAACCTATCCATTATAAGCGTCCACATTAGTGGACAAGGTTTTTTAAGGTGCACACTGTATCTAAAATTCGTTTTTGAAATTTCTTTATCAATTTGATTGAATATTGTGAGATTATGAATATTTATGTGCTGATTGTAAATATTTTCTTTTTTCTTAACACAATACATATTTATTAAGAAAGGACACGGGTCTTAGAAGGCCAGAAATCGCAAAAAAATTGACTGTTTGAAGCTGACATTTTCGGAATCTGTATCTATTTTTGCACCTATCTGAGAAGTTTCTAGCTTCTCGCGTCATTATTTTTGGCGCAAAATCTATTTATAACATCCCTGTGAGATGAATGTGAGCGCAAATTGACGCTAAAATTGTGCTTTTTCCGCGCCGAACTGTTGCCGTTGCACACGAGCTATCGTGTTAATCTTGGTCACGTTTGGAAGGGTCGTTCTTCATCTTCAATTTCCCGCCACCGCTGGCTCTCCTTGCTCATTAGTTTTTCAACAAAAGCACTAGCGTGCAATTCTATTGGTTGCTTGGGGGATGTGACAAAACTAGGCATCCGATTGGCCTAATGGCGTTTCCGGCGTTTGCTTCACCATCGTGACGTGCACGGACATGCGCTATTTTGTCATGGTGCTGCTGACTGCCTGCGGCAGTAAAGAGGTTCCGTGCTACAGTAATTTGTGAAGCGGGTGTGGCGATAGTTCGTTCGCTGTGAACTTCAGAATGAGGATAGTTATAACACGAGAACAAATTGACGACACAGAGACAAGAAGGACACGAGCGCTAACTTCCAACTGAGTTTATTGCGTAGAGCGAGAAAATATATAGAGGAGATAGTAACCATGTGACAAAAAAATCATGTGGCACAAAGAGCAAAACATGAGTAAGAGAAAAACAAAAGCACAGAAAAAGGCAAAGAAAGGTCTATAAGGAAACGAAACAGAACAGTAAAGATAATATAACTACTTGCACCGAAACCTTCGAGAAACCTTAGTTCCTTCTCAGACAGAGACACGGAGGGCTTGCTTATGCAAGACACCCGTTCGCGTGCCATCTGCGCGGCCTCGACAATGACTCGGGTGCGCTCATTTTTGTGCTTGTACAGCGTCGCTGTGTCCTTGAAAAGGGGCACTCAGTGCAGTGCTGAGCAAGAAAACCATCTTTCCCATTTCTAACATTGTTAGCGTGTTTTCTCAGTCGATCGTTCAGACACCTTCTGGTCGTTCCGACATAACAAGCACCGCATGAAAGGGGTATCCTATAGACAACTTCCCGGGAGCATGCCGCGTACCTGTTTCTAGGTTGAACTCTGCAATCTGTTGATGACTGCGTTTTCAGTCGGTTTGTAGATTTGGAGAGGCTGATTAATTTGAACGGTGCCGAGAACAGGACACGGACTCCAACACGTTTTCCGATTTTCTTGAGCCTGTGTGATATTTGGTGTTTGTATGGAATCACGGCTATTCTTTCACCTTCTGTATTCGTGTTGCTCGGATTCTGTCGCTGCCTCTGCTCTGCCTTATTAGTCCGCAGGATAGTCTCAGCAACGGAAGCGATAAACGCCTCGGGGAAACCCGAAGCCTTAAGCCGGGAAACTTTAGCTTTGAAGCTCGCAGAGATATTGTGGGCGCACGACCTATTTAAGGCATTTTCAAGACGGATTCGTGCTATGCCTCGCCTAACTAACTTGCTGTGAGCAGAATAAAAGGGAAATAAAGGTTTCCGCGCACGTTGTTCATAACACCAGATGTGCTGTGAGCTAAAAAACAGTCTTAAGGGGAGACGCGGGTCGAAAAGTCGCGGTTTTCCGGAAAATTTTCACTTTTTTTTTTTCCGGCTGTATTGGCATCCTTGGACTATAATCTATTACTTCTGAAAATATCAAGCTGAAATTCGCACGAGAAATTATCAAAAAATGTTTCCAAGTGGGCAGCGGTGACGCGAGAAATGCGCGAAAGTCGCGAAAAACGGCGAAGTTCGCGTCGTCCTGTCGCGAAACGACGTGTTGGCCGCCATTTGCAATCGTGCACGCATGCTGCGAAGGCCGTATCCTTCATAATCCACTAGTAGCCAGTCTCGTGCCTTCACGCAGAATAAACAAAAAACGAGAAAAACAACGCGTACGTCACGCGTTTTGAATATCGCGGCACACAGCGCGAGGCCGCCATTGGACGGCGGTGCGCTTCACGCTCCTCCCCCTCCTATTTCTCCGGCAAAAGAGCGAAGCCTCAAACGTCGCGATCGAGTTTTTCTGCGTTTCGCTGCATTTTTGCGTCATGGCAAGCCCGAAGAAGTGCAGTTCAGATAATCGAAAGTTCAGAACTCGCCACAAGTATCGAGGGAAACGGCGTCAGACGCTTCGCAAAGCGACAGCGAGCGACAATGTCGCCCCCGACCAACGCCCCGACGCTCCGACTTCGGATAGGCCTAACACCGTCACCGAACCCTGCGACAGTGGTTGTGAAATAGCCGCTGCCGTGGAATTCGTCAGTGCATCCCAAAGGAAGATTGGATTCTTCGAGAGTGAACGTAGACTGGTAGATGCTGCTACTGCGAACATGCTGCTTTGCGAAATCGATGCGCTGACGGCACTTGTGGCAGGTGCGCAATGCCCAACCTGCCGCGAACGGAAGCTCGGCGTGCGAGAGGCAGCTGGAAAGCGCAAAGGACTTTCGGCATTCCTCGAACTGTGCTGTCAAAATTCTGATTGCCCTGAATCTGCACTTTCGTTCACGCACACGTCGAGACATACTGCTTCGGCCGGGGACCAAGGAACGAGCGCTCGTTTTGACAGCGTCAGCTCGCGTGACAGCTTTGCTGTAAACGTGAAGGCAGTTCTGGCAGCACGCGCGATATAGGCGCAGGCCACGACCAACTTTCACGATTTTGTGCGATTCTCGGTCTTCCGAGCCCGATGCATCACAAGACATTCAACGGCATTTGCAAGAAGCTCCATGGTGCGGCGATGACGGCAGTGAGCAAAAACTTGCACCAGGCACGAGACATCACGAAGGACGCAGTCAGCGGCAGAGATGTGCCAGTCATGTTTGATGGCACCTGGCAGAAAGGAGGTCATAAAAGCCACAATGGAGTGGGCACAGTCGTGTCCCTGGACACGGGGCTCTGCCTCGATTTTGAAGTTCTTTCGAACTACTGCCATGCTTGCAGTATACACAGGGACCTTGGGGAGGATGAAGAGATATGGCGAGCTTTTCATCTTCCAGTTGCCAAAAAAACACTGACTGCTCATCCCATGCAATGGAACCTGCGGCAGCTGTCAATATATGGCAGAGGACCTTGTCTTATGAAACTCCACTGCGATTCACCAGCTTCCTAAGTGATGGTGACAGCAAGGCCTACACTGCAGTCTGCGAGGCAAATGTATACTCTGACACCCCCATTGACAAAGAAGAGTGCACGAACCACGTTGCAAAGCGCTTGGGAACTGCCCTACGGAAATTGGCAACGCCTCTGCCACGAGGCGAAAAACTGAAAGATGCGACAATAATAAAACTACAAACATATTACAAGATCGCCATCACGAGCAAAAAGGACAGTGTCCGAAATATGTACACTGCCGTATGGGCATCGTATTTTCATATCTGCTCCAGTGATGGTGCCAGTAGCCACAACTTTTGCCCAGCGGGACCAAATTCGTGGTGCAAGCACAAGCGTGCGGAAGCACTGGGGGAGCCTGCACCACGCCACACCCCACTGTTGACGAAGGCTCAAGGATTGGCAATTATGCCTATCTACAAGCGCCTTACAGAGGAGAAACTCCTCATTCGGTGCCTTCATGGCAAGACACAGAATGCAGCCGAATCGCTGAACAGCAAGATATGGCTGCTATGTCCAAAAACAAAGTTTTTGGACATAGCAGAACAACTGTGGAGACAGCTACCGCTCTTGCTGTACTCTGGTACAACAAAGGCCACAGGGGCTTTGAAGAAGTGCTCGAAGGCATTGGAATTCTCCCCTCACAAGATCTGGCCACACATGGTGACCACTGTGACGTCATGCGCATCAGGAAGATGAACCTGAAGCAAACTGCAGAAGCGAGGGCACACCGTCGCAACACAGCGAAGAGAGCTCGTGTTGAGGACACTGACCGCAAGAGCCGTGAAGGACCAAGCTATGGTGCAAGGGACTTCCAGACACTTGCAGTGCATTCAAGGCAAGGTACTTTTCATTGTGCCCCAATTTGATGCAAAAAGAATGATTTCCTAATAAATGCCAACTTTGCGAACTTTCAAACTTGTTTTTTCTCATTTTCATTTTTTCTGACAGTTTCACGTTTTCCGGGCAGCCTTTTAGAAACTTATATTCATTGTATAGTAACGAAACTTGGCACACATATTCTTCAACACATGCAGAATGCAAATATCTACTCTAAATTGCAATGCCTACCAGCATTAGTTGTGAAAATATTAGCTTATTGTTTCAAGGGAGATTGAAAATAATAAGTCATTCAATACAATTTTTTTTTCTCAATAATTATAGCAATAACTCAATAATTATAGCAGCTACACAAAAAATGATTGCATATTTGAAATCTGCATGAAAAACTATACTAATAACAAACTTTTCAAGTCTCTATTACTAGAAATAAAAAAAAAAACTTTTTCGAGGAGCGTCTCCCCTTAAATCCAAAAAGCGTAATTTGTCATTCTCGGGCATTTCTGAGTCGTCGTTTTGTTCTCGTGCTATAACTATCGTCATGCGATATCGACTAGCCCAAGCTGCCACACTTCAGATTGAGCCCGGCTATGGCTCAGGACAACGAGGATAACGAACTCGCCGCGGTCAACGGCGGTCGCCGAGTCACCGGCGTAGGCATAACTGATGTACGAGCCCGTTGGTTGCCGACAAGGTTAATGTTTTGCAGCCTCATCAGTTAGAGGACGGCAAGTAAAAAGCAGAAGTGAAGCTACGAGGGATATCAATCTTTGTAGTGACTTTGTAGTTTGCGACTTAAACGCCATGTGTGTTCGAAGATTGTCTAAAGGCTCTTGTGTTGACACATGAAATGCCCGAGAATGACAAGTTACGCTTTTTGGATTTAAGACTAGTTTTTAGTTCACAGCACATCTGTTGGTGTTATGGACCACATGCGCAGAAACCTTTACTTCCCTTTTATTCTGCTCACAGCAAGTTAGTTAGGCGAGGCATAGCACGAATCCGTCTTGAAAATGCCTTAAATAGGTCGTGCGCCCACAATATCTCTGCGAGCTTCAAAGCTAAAGTTTCCCGGCTTAAGGCTTCGGGTTTCCCCGAGGCGTTTATCGCTTCCGTTGCTGAGACTATCCTGCGGACTAATAAGGCAGAGCAGAGGCAGCGACAGAATCCGAGCAACACGAATACAGAAGGTGAAAGGATAGCCGTGATTCTATACAAACACCAAATATCACACAGGCTCAAGAAAATCGGAAAACGTGTTGGAGTCCGTGTCCTGTTCTCGGCACCGTTCAAATTAATCAGCCTCTCCAAATCTACAAACCGACTGAAAACGCAGTCATCAACAGATTGCAGAGTTCAACCTAGAAACAGGTACGCGGCATGCTCCCGGGAAGTTGTCTATAGGACCCCCCTTTCATGCTGTGCTTGTTATGTCGGAACGACCGGAAGGTGTCTGAACGATCCACTGAGAGAACACGCTAACAATGTTAGAAATGGGAAAGATGGTTTTCTTGCTCAGCACTGCACTGAGTGCCCCTTTTCAAGGACACAGCGACGCTGTACAAGCACATAGATGAGCGCACGCGAAGAGGTGCCTTGTATTAGCAAGCCCTCCCTGGCTCTGCCCGAGAAGGAAATTCGGTGCGCGCAGGTAGTTATTATTATCTTTACCTTTCTGTTTCGCTTTCTTCTTAGTTTTTCTTTGCCGTTTTTCTGTGCTTTTGTTTTTTGTCTTTGTTTTTCTCTTACTCATGTTCTGCTCTTTGTGTCATGTGGTTTTTATCACATGGTTACTGTCTCCTCTATATATATTTTCGTGCTCTGCGCAATAAACTCAGTTGGAAGTCAGCGCTCGTGTCCTTAATGTCTCTGTGTCGTCGTTTTGTTCTCGCGCTGTGACTATCATCATGCCATACCAACTAGCCCAAGCTGCCACACTTCTAAGTTACACTTCGAGGAACCTTAGTTCCTTCTCGGACAGAGACACGGAGGGCTTGCTAATACAAGGCACCTGTTCGTTTGCCATCTGCGCGGCCTCGACAAGGACTCGGCGTGTGCGCAGTCAAGCGCACGGGGATTGAAAAAGGCACCACCATTTGCCGCAACCGCCGCGCACAACATCGCGGTTGCGGCGGCGCGATAGCGATCTACGAGCTCCGATGGCAGGCAGCGGTAGACTAAAGGCAGTAAATACGCAAAAAAAAAGTTACGTTTTCTCCCCGCAAGGGCGAAGCAATAAATGCGACAGCAACAACATGGAATGCCACACTGAGAACGACAAGCTGCTCGCGCACAAATGACGCACGAAAACAATACACACAAGACGAAAGCGAACTAACAACGTTTACCGCTCGACACGTAACGCGCTGTTTAAACAAAAAAAAAAAGCGATGCTCGATACGTAATTACAGGTACATATAAGTACAAACAAGTGTCGCAGTTATACCTAGCTGTGTATGAAAGGCGCGCTCTTTTTGCAAACGGGGCTTGTGCATAAACCGAAGATACCTTTGTGGGCCCCGGCAACTAACGCAATCGTTCCAGTGAAAGCCGAAGGCACACTAATCTCCCCACCGAAAGATAAGGGCGCGCGCGCAAGCATCAACCCCCCCCCCATCCGCAGGGCAAAGTCGCGCGTCGGCGCATTGCGACGAGCTGGGCACCCAGTAGGGGCGGCTTTTTTTCGCTCTCTGAAGTGATAATATATCTAGATAAGTATACATATACGGTGAATGACGGCGGCCAAACACCAGCCTAGACTGCCAATAACCAAGAGGCGAGACATGTTTTTGGCGTTAGTGTTCAAGAGAATTTAGTAGGGAGCAAAGCTTTGACCCGCGTTTTTGGGGCAGCCAGCTGCGCCGTCCCGTCCGTTCACGTGTGTCCCAGTAAGACATACACGAGCTGCTTTGAAGGAAATAAATTCTGCTAGTTGTGTTGACCCTATGACACTCTCACCTTAGTGGAAAAACCCTACCTTCGTGTGTTCGGCCATTCCAAGCCGACGGCAACGCTGATGTTTGTGCTTGTGATTGAGACCCGCCACCCGCACCCCCTCTTGTTTTTCGCGATGTTTTTTGTTTGTTTGTTTGTCCTTAGGTTTTTTTGATGCCGGGGAAAAAAAGGAGCAAATAATTCGCCCCCCCCCCTCCCCGCTGCGAAATCTCCCGGATTCAGAATCCTTGAACTTGGCAAGTATGCAATCGAGTTCTGCCAAAAAAAAAAAAAAAAAGCTGCAGCCGAGTGTACTACCTGAATGGCTGCCGAGGATTAAACCTGCAGGAGACGTCCATCCCGATTGCCGCCCAAACGTGAACTATACGTACTCACTGATGTTTTCCGTGCGGCCTCCTGGCCCTGCCACCGGGTGGCACTGGTGCCACTATCGCACTAACCGTAATGATGACGACAACGATGAACTCGCATGAGCACTGCGCAGTTGTTTTCAGTTGTAACATAAACTAGCTTTTAAAAATCGTGAAATACTATTTAAGGGTGTGCTCATACTTACCAGCAGATTGCCTTAACTCTTGAGGGCTTTGCTTTTCATTTGATGCCTGGGAACAACTGGAAACCTTCATGTCCCTATCCCTTTAACCTACTGCACTGAGATCTCATTGTAACATTCATCTTGCACGAAAATAAGTTTGTTATATCCATAAATTCATTATAAAGCTATATTCCTTGTATCTCTTTTGCAAGACTATTTTTCATTTACTTTGTTACAATTGATATTTCGTTATATCCAGATTCCTTATATCGAGTTTTGACTATATTGTGAAATCATCGTTGATAGAGTTCTCGAAAAAGAATATACCAGTTCTAGCTGACTTTTTAGTTTTTGTTAATGTTGAATGCATGAAAGCTTTGTCACCTGAGACTTTCACGATTATATAATTTCAGGTTCCTCTGCTAAGGCGTACCTGAGATGAGTACAAGAAGGAAGCAAGATCTTCTATGCATTTAATAAAAGAATACTCAGCCATTATTTTTTTTATTTGTGTATGTTAAAAACATTCTTTTTATGGCAATGAGTGTTTTGCGCTAAACTATGTTTAAAACTTTATTTCGAGGCTAGTGTCCCTTGCATTAGTAAAGTGCACTATCAATGTAATGCACATTGTGTGAAATGTTGTTCGCGTCCGGAACATTTGTGATGTGTGGAAAAATGTGCTAAAACTGTTTTGTGTATTGCGGTTCTCCTTTTGTCAGTTTAATTCCATTTCAAAACATTACGTTTAACGTAATAACGTACTTGCAAAATTTTTGGGGCTACAAGGAACAATATGCCAAGTGTTCGGGCTTTGAAGAGTCGTGGGGTACTATAAAAGTGCATTTTTTTTTATTAATGACAGTTGTTCATGTTTCTCTTAATTTTGTCCTAAAACTGGCATCTTTCATTTTTGTATACTTGATTTGTGCTTAATGCACCCAACATATTCAGGTTTCGATTGGTCATGATGAACGACTAAAGCACAGCTACGAATGTTTCATGTATGACAATTTGTGTCTTTTTCATTTTACTGTAAAACACTGTTTTAATTGATAAGAGAAAATTGTTTCACATTAAATGCACAGCATGCAATGTCCTGGTTTATGAACGAAGATATACAGACCAAAATTATTTGAATGTGAACGTTTTTTGAGTGAGATTTTTTTGTACTCCATTCTCTCTTCGAATTCTCTTTATAATTTTGTTACACGTAATATTAAAGCCGCAACGAAAGTGTTTATGCGTGATAGTTCTTCATGTGCATTCAATTCTCATTGTCGAAGCTGCAAATGTTAACACAAATGGATTGCATCAGTGATAATCTTATTGAATCTCATTTTGCATATTTTCATCCTAAACACATTTTTTAATGTTGTGCATTTTGTTACTTTCTGAACACTTAATGAAAAATAATTGTTTTCAGTTTTCTGACCCTTTATTAGCCCTTAAGACTTTAACAACCACAATGTTAAAGGTAAAAGAAAAGTCGTGTGTTGGCTATCTTTTCTGCAAGGCAGCTTTCCAAGTGGTTGCATTCTGAAATGGGCATTTCTAGTATTGTGTGTGCTATGTTTTCCATGCACTTTAGGCAAAATAATTGCCCAATTTTCGTCCCTTGCTAATGAAGGTGAATACAACTACCATACTCTTTCAAAAGAACAAAGGTTGTTTGTCAGTGATTGTTATATGCATAAGAGTTTAGTTTATTTTAACAAATCAACCAATGGCTGTGATGAGCTATTTTTGAGCTGGTAGCGTGATTTGTAGAGAGAAGAGAAAGCAATTCTTAGCGGACTTTGAGCACTTATTGTGAATTCCAGGCCGCATGCTGTGCAATAATGTTTGGCTCGAGTGTTCTCGGGAGCTTCCGCTACTGACCGGCAGCATTTTCTGACCATGCTCAAAAAGTGTTGCAGGGGTCTTTTAATGAGTGCCATATGTAAAATGTTTAGACCTCGATTTTTTTTTTTGTGCACATTTAGTTTTCGCTTAAAAGAATTGTCTTCCTTTTTTTTTTACCCTTGAAGAGCCCCTGAACCACCCAGAAGTTTAAATTCAGTTCTGGTGGGGAAGTTGTGCACAAGTGTACAAAAACCAAAGAGCCACGAGATTTTTTTCAAAATGGTGCTGTAATAGCATTTGATTATCGATGTGCGGCAATCACTACTTTTGCTCTTTCCTTTGCTACCCTTCATTTGTATCCTCTCACAAAGGTGCCTTGCCTGAGCGACCCTCCCAATACGTGCTGCTCGAAACGCTACTACTGGTTGCTACATTCTAATGCCTACAGTCTATTTTAAAGGTTGCTGCGTAACGAATACTTGTTACACGTCCAACTGATACGAGATCACATGTGACTAGATACACGTAGGACATAGTGCTGCAGCCGGAGGGTTTTCTGGCTTTGTTCGTTGTCCTTCTCACGCTATCGACAAGTCTCTAGTTTGATTTGTGCGTCACATACATCCCAAGTTATACAACTAATATTGATTGTATCATTCAATCCATGTAGGAAAAATGGTGTCTTTCTGGCACGGTACTCTAGTCCCGAATGTACGATAGAAGGGTGCTCTACCTCCCTTCTGGCCGATGCCTGTAAAAACTCTTGTCATGATGTACTGTTCTCATGGTACGCAACATCCAAACTTGTATAACAAGTAATTTGTGATATTATACGAGACAACCACATCATATTGCTACGAATCTGGCCCCCAAACAAGTTCTTGGCACAGATGTAAGTGTACAAGCCAGTATTACGTGCATGTGCCACAAACTAAAGCCCATTAAAAATGAAGTATGCGCATTTCGTCATGTGAGCACCGTACAACCTCACTTTGTGGATGATCCATTTTGTTGCCAAGTTCCTGCAAGTGTTATGTATGACTGTATCGTTGTGTTGTGATTTTATAAATAAATGGCTATTTTCCAGCATGTGATGGCCGTTGCGTACCCTATGTTCAGGCCCATAGCCAAAGGAGGTGCTGTAGGGTCTCGGTCCACTTCTCAAATTTTGGTGAAAGTGGTTTTTTACCAAAAAAAAAACATAACAGGTGTTTCTCTCAATTAGTCAAGCCTTTGAGCCAGTGCCTCTTCTTACTCTCCACCAAATGGAGTAGCAAAATGCTACTTTTGGAGCACTAGAATATAATGTTGGAGCTGATCATGGGAAAATTGTTTGTATAAAGGACCAATTTTGGAGAATTATGAAAAAGAAGGCTTACGTTTAAAGGAATATATTTACAAAACATTCAAATCACTTAAATCTTGCATAGTGAACATGAGCACTTGTATTCGAATAAAAGTAGTATTCTGAATTACCCCACTGAGCAAACAATGAAGTCCACATTAGCATTTGCTGTGCCAGCCGAATCCTTTGACAGACTCTGCGGATTAGAACAAGGCCGAAACATTCTTAAACCGCTGCGCATACCTCCTTCCACTTTTCTTTTTTTCCCTTGACATGAGAGTTAGGTTTAGAGTCCATCTTCTCGGCTTGTTTGCGAGGCGCGTTCGACCAGACAAAGTGACGACGGGTGCACCCGTTGGCCCGGCGAATGCTATCTATCGCCGGGACGACGGAACATCAAGCCAGAAAAATTATTTATATGCCGTTGCTATGGCAACAAGCGAGGTGGCTGGCAATGACGGCGTTCGCGAAATGTCCACCTTGTTCGCAAGCAAAAAACGCAGTATACGTTTTTAGCATACCCACGTTTGCTATCTGGTAAATTTATATTTCCTGCGTATCATTGGTCGCTGCGTTAACGATTTTTTTTTATTGTGGTTGTTGGTTTGATGTTTTGTCGACCCCACGATAGGCATCCGCTACGGTCCGCTGACTGGTACGTGCGCAGAATTGGGAGATGCTCCTCCCCCGCCCGAAAGACCGGCCAACAAATCCATGGACAGGACCCCCGGTGTCATTCACGAAATTCCGTGCGTCGATGCCCCTCTTCGTATATCGGCGAGACGAAAAACCTACCGGAACGACTGAAGCAACACGCCAACGATGTGCGGAAGTTCTACAAAGAGCGCAGCGCAGTCGCAGAACATGCTAGCCGTTGGATCACCGGATGAAATTCGAAGCGACGGCCATCCTTGAAAGCGAGCCGAACAGTCGTGGCACATACAGAGGACAGCCCATAACATCAACCGCTCTCTCGGAACCCTTCCCCCAGTGTATGCACATCGGCTGCGCTCCACGACAAAACGAGAGAGAGATAGGTGTGGGGGGGGGGGGGGGGTCATTATCCACCCCGCGAGTGCTTTGAAGACGCCGCTGATACGTATAGTCCCATGGTCAGGCACTGCGCCGTGCTCCCGACCGGGCTGCAGAAATTAGTTACCTTTTCTCATCTTCTAACCACCACCACCCCTGAGGAAGGAACCATGTCGGTTTCAAAACGTCGGGTTTCTTCAAAACTTTTGGTTGGAGTCCAAATCATCTCCCAGTTTCATACCCAACCAGACAGACTTCTATCGAATGTTTACATTCAAGTGCGCAGAGTTGTTACTTCATTTTATACTTTATCTGGTCGACCGCGATTCGCGAGTGTCGTCACCTAACGAGTATATACTTGCTCCGTGCTTTATGGTTCGGGTCTGTTGCTTGGTTTGATTGATGACGCAAAGTGCAGGTGGCCAATGTGGCCTCCATTTCGCGCTAAAATTAACGCACGCGAGATAAGTTTGAGGCTTGTTGGGACTCCGGGTCCTGCCGGTCTCGTTTTCGGTAGCTGGCCCCGTCGCAGGATCCATCGTCCAACAAATCAGCGAGAAGAAGCGCCCGAACGAACAACATAGATTTATTTACATGTGGAGAAGTGGTCAACTGACCCAAAGAGAGAAGAGTGAGTGTGATACAAAACGTCTTCGGCATTTTATAGCGCCGCGTCGTTGACACTGGGCGCCCCGTCCGCATCGTCAGCCAATACGGTGTCTCCGGCACCTCGGCCACGAGAGAGGGGGAAACACACCTCACAACACATGGAGTGGCCCAACCTAACACGAGGTCCATATATGGTCACGGCGCCCTAAAATGTTACCAAACATGGTCACGAACGCACAGCAGACCCCGGAGCTCTCCCGGCGAGGAGGAACCCGAATGGGGAGGTGGGGGTGGCCGCCACCGTCGGTCAAGAACCGGTTCTCCCCCAAACTCTTCCTGCTTGGCTCCCCAGGGCCGGTCGTAACAGGCTGCATGGTCGGGCATTTTGGCACAGCGTGACGCAATTTCAGCAAATTTCGTAGTTTTGGCGCAGCTCGGCGCAACGAAGGGGAATTGTATCAAATTGGCACAGCTCTTGCACCCCTGCATTTGTCAGGTGATGATAGAGTGACATGTAAATAGGGTATTCTAAAGGGACTGCCAGCAAAGAGCATTTGCTGACATTTAAGTACGAATGCATATCATGTAGCCTACTTTCTATGGCTGTTAAATATGCCTGTAATATGGTGTATAGTTTGTGAATATCATCTTCTGATGCAAAAAAAAATGCAATGTCATCAGCATACACATATGTCTGTAAGTCCGTATGTCGTGGAATAGAGCTCATTAAGATATCCAATAACACTGGGGAAAGGTCTGCCCCTTGATGGACGCCTCTTGTGTGCGAATATGTATAGCGGATGAGATATCCGGCTTTGGAAACAGAAGAACGTTCTATCTCGTAAGAATTTCACAATCCATGCCGGAATATATCTCGGGAAGTTAGTTAGAGCATCCTGCTCTGAAGCCAATTTTGGACGGATTTAGGGTTGCATTTTCATTAATGAAATTGTATGCAAATATTTTTCTATCAATTTTACCAAATTTGAAGTTAGCGCGATAGGCCTAATGTTACCCAAAACATCCCTTACCCGGAGTTTTAAGTAAAGGTATCACCTTCGCAATCTTCCACTCTGGTGCGAGCTACGCCACTCTTAATAAGTAATTAATCACATCTAATAAATAATCTTGGCATTCCTTATCTAGTACTTTCAGCATAGCTGTCGGGTTTGGCGGATCATGGGAGAGGCCTTTGCCCTGCAGTGGGCGTAGTCAGGCTGATGATGATGAATAATTGTGAAGCAAGAACTTTCTGTGGCAATGAAGTTTCCGGAAAACTACGTGGACGCAGCTACTGCTCCTGTACTCCTCCTCGAAGTACAGTGCGGTTCGGCTCGCGTTTCGAATGACGGCCGTGTTCAAGTAATCTCACTGCACACAATTTGATACGTCTGCCTACACAGTCATTTGTAAGTGAAATTCAATACAAGCTTTTTCGGCGAGTCTTTGGAATAGCTGGAGGCCTACGACGCCATTCTGGCCAACGTTGATTCTGACTGCGAGGTGCACGTAAAAAGTGCGACTTTTTCAGACGCGCATAAACATGAAATTACTCTTCATAAATCAACAGAAACCATGAATATGTTCTCGGTGCGAGCTGCGTCTTTTTATAAACAGCATCCAGTAGAAATGTTGTTCTTTTTTAATATATTCACGCAGAAAACACGGACGCATTTGTTGCACCATATTCTACAAGCGGTGGCACACGCCCACTTTGGCTCCGTAGCCTTTCCTTCATTGCCATAGAAGTTGAAGTGATGCCCTGTTAAATAATCCCCTCCCCACCCCCCCTTTTTTTTTTACAGCGAAAGCTGTCACGAAACCACAACTCGGGTCACGCGCACTTGTCCGCCGCCACCGGTGTCCGTAACCCCATCGCGCGAAATAATAAAAACAACCCAGCACCAATTACACAGTGGGGCTCGAACCTGGGTCCGCTGTGTACCAGCCCAGTATTCTATCAATGAGCTACTCCGGTGCTTGTGACCTGTTGACAAACTTGCCTTAGGCGGGCTTGATGTCGGGAAAGCAATCGAGTTATTACGACTTACAAAGCGTTTCAAAACAGCGAAACAACAACCAGTCGTAGCACGATGCGAATAGCGTAACGAATGGGTCGTCCAATGCTCCAACCCATTACAGAAGCTTGTTCTTGTTCCCCTATTGGGTCTCGCTAGCTGGATTCCGGGCCGACCGGTTGTGCGCTCGCGCGCTTGCGATCTCCGACGTCAGCGTGGCTCTGGCCGACTTGGCTCGCCCTACGTCACCTCCTGCCGCCGGCGACCTTCGACGACTGTAGCTCTGACCGACTGGACTTGCTCTACGCCATCTACTGACGCCGACAAGAGCTCTCGCAAGTGTGCCCCGTGCTCGGACTCCAGTGACCGTGCTCCCATCTTTCCTGTCTCTCATATCCCCTCGGTTTGTTGTCGCTTCTTCTGGCTTACCACCACACGTCTCTTCTTCTCTTCTTCTTCTTCCGCTTTCCTACACCTTTACTCCTACCCCTTTTTATCCCTCCTCACCCCCATCCCTTGTGAGCTACTGTGGAGGTGTCGCTCACTGAAGCACACAGTAACGGGGCTCACTTTTCTCTTCCTTTCTCTTTTAAGAATCACTTCTCTCCCCTATTAACTGTGGCGCATACTCACTTCAGCCATAATTCCTCATCCTCGGCAGCCACTGCATGAACAATTGACACAAAATTCCTTGCAAATGTTTAGCGTATACCACTCTTCTCAGAAAATGACGAAAAATAGCATAGCGAATACTGGGTTGTGACTGGCGCCCGAGCTGACAAGGGAGCGGCGCTCTTTGGATCTTCAATCAAGTAGCCGACCGGCTCCGTAGACTGCACCAAGAAGCCGAAATCAAGTAGCCCAAAGGCTCCGTAGACGGCACCAAGAAGCGTGCAAAACGGAGAAAGTGTCTTAAAGACAAGCAGGTGAAAATCGTGACGCGTTTGAGTAATGTGTTCAAATGGCGGAGCGAAATTTCGAGAAAGTTGCCGTATCACAAGCGGCCGAGGAGCAAGGAAAAGAGAAACGCATTGTGCGCGGTCGAAGGGCAGGGAACCCTTCTGTTGTTCTCGCGGCGGCTTGGACGGGGCGCGTTCTAACCACTACCACCACCACCACACAGACGTCGGTGGTTTTCGCGAACTGACGAGAAGGGACGACGGCAAATAAGCTTCGAGGAACGTCGCGAGGTTCGGTAACAAAGGGATTTACCTTTACGCGTGTTGTACACCCCGCTTGACGAGAAAAGCCTTTCGGGCGCGACCACCACGAGTTCGACTTAAAGTTGTTGAGAATAGCAGTTAGCTTATTAAAAATGTTGACTCAGGGACTGCTGGAAGGATTTTTTTGTTTACTTCAGTGATTTTGTAAATAACTAGTTCGAGCTTTGTTTTGTTTGCGCTCTATTGTTTTGGTAGCCAATACGCGTTGTATATATATATATATATATATATATATATATATATAATATATATATATATATATATATATATATATATATATATATATATATATATATATATGCAGAAGAATAACTTCGGTTGCCGCAAGGTTATAAATATGAAAGTAGATGCGCTTTCACATAACAACTGTTTATTGTGCCGACGTTTCAACGGGAACCCCGTCTTTTTCAAGGCATAATAATATTTACACATGTTCCGTGTCTTCTTATAGCCTGTCGAGACATGAGGGAAGAGGTCAAAAGAAAAGTAAAAAAAGAAAAGAGAGAAAAAAAAGAAGAAACAGCGAAACGGGAGGAGAAACATTAAATAAAATATAGAAAATCTATGAGAAGAAGCAAGACTGACATGGTGTAATTAGAAAGGGGCAGCATCTCAACAGAGTAGGGCAGAGGTAGATGAGCAATGTCATCATTGTCAACAATACCTCCCCCGCACCCACTCTTCCCCAAGTGGGCAGTGCGCCGCCGTTCTTGTATTTCACCTATTCATTATATGCAATGGCTCCTTGTCAGTGAAGGAACAGAATGTGCGTTAAAAATTAAAGAAGAAAAAAAGAACAGGGGGGGGGGGGGGGGGGGAAGAGAGACTGTACGACATTCGGGACAGTCACCACACAGTTGTGGCTCACTGAGAAGACCTGCGCGCATGTATGAAAAAGTTAACGAAACCACCTAGCTGTCAGCTCCTTGTCAGTGAAGGAACAGAATGTGCGTTAAAACTTAAAGAAGAAAAAAAAGGAAAAGAAAAAAAAAAGGGGGGGGGGACCGTACGACATCCGGGACCACTTATCTGTGCGTTCCGGCTGTGCTTGATGAGACAAATCATTTCTATGTTGTCAGGTGCATAGGCTAAAAGCTTTGTTATACTGCACTATTCTCGAAGTTTATAACAATATATATATATATATATATATATATATATATATATATATATATATATATATATATATATATATATATATATATATATATATATATATATTGGAAGGATAGTGATACGCATTAGAGCGAGTTGCAGGGCTTATGAGATGAGCATTTTTGAAGGAAGGGGGCGGTCCGCCTTTCGTCACTCTATCGACAGCTTGTTTGATGGGCCGCGGAAGTACGAGGTCTGTGGCTCGCTAATAGTAACTGAGCGAGAGTAAGAACTCTGGTTGCGCCAGCGAGGAGCTTTGCGGGGGTCGGAGGCGAAGCGAATGGGTTTTGCCATTGTTCCATTCCCGGTTCGCCAAGAAAGAGCCACAGGATGCGACACCGCGCGTTCGTCTGAAAAGGGAGTAGTCGACCGTAGGCTTTTGACGATGGTCACTAGTGGATTTGTTTTGATTTGACGTTTGCTTTTGACGATTCAAGTTTGTTTGGGTTTTAGAATGTGGTATTTAAGTATCTCAACTACTAGATATTGTTTAGGTAATTCATTGTTAATTTCTTTGTGCGTTGTACGTTTCTCTAAGGTAAGCGTTGTGCGATTGCATAAACGACACACATAGGAGCCTGCGTCATGGTAGCTACGTGTAAATGAGCAGGGGCGACGTTAGGAACTAAGTAGGACTGAGCGCAAAGACGCAGAGATATTCCTTGCGAGTTTTTCAGGGTTCATGCGAAAGTTTTTTGTTGTTGTTGATATCATGTTTTGTTCGCATGTATTGGTGTGTAAGTAAGAAAAGCTAGTTGATGGGCTAATGTGCATGCTTTGTGAGAGTAGAAACCGCAAGAAGTTAAGTAGTAATTTATCTACGCAGAAGCACGATGAATTTGCAGGTGTGGATGTTTCTGATGCAGGTGCAGCATAACAGTTGTCTCTTCGTCAGCTCTGAGGGAACTGACGACAAGCTTCGGCGGCACAAAATTTTGGGAACTAAAAGATAGCATGAAGCACAAGGCTTTATTTTATGAGTATAAGGCCTGTTAAGTTACAGCGAATTGCCCACGCTAGCACACAGGTATGCCACGGGGAACGCCTCATTTGGCAGGTAATTTCTAATGGAAGATAATTCTCGAATCAGGATTGGACTTTTGGCGAAAGTTCAGACAAACTTTCCGATTGCTGCTTTGTGGTGTGATACTACTTAAGGAAGGTTGGAGAATTTTTAGAACTCGATGTGTCTCAGTGCAGGCAGGGCGCTCTCCCGTGCCTGTGATGGTCGAATCTCCCGCCGGCGGACGAGCTGTTGTGACTGGCGCCCGAGCTGACAAGGGAGCGGCGCTCTTAGGATCTTCAATCAAGTAGCCGACCGGCCGGCTGCCAGTGTCCGCCAGGCATTGTCCCTGCTAGCCGGAGGGTGAGACGTCGTGTCGCCACGACGCTCTAAGCCGTTCGAGAGAGGACAACAAATGCAGCATCGTCCTTAAAAGAGACCGCGGCGGTCACCGCAAATCACCCCGCTAATTAAGCGAGCAGTTTGGCGGACCCTTTGAAGTATGCTGTCGTGAGCTTGGGACCCCTCGACCAGCGGCACACACACGACGAGGAAGAGCCCCGCTGGCGCCACCTTGGATTGCAGTGATCACGGCTCAATATTGGACGTTCACGTGGGCCGTGCATGCTCGTCCCCCCTCGCCAGTTGTGTGTGATGTGTGATTGGACAGTACCATCTGCACGTGTTCCCTGATATCTAGGGATATGGGGAGCACATACCTTTTATAATGAGCCACCCGGCTCATTCGAAGGAGCGCCATGTAGATGAGCACGAGATTCGAAAGCTCACCATGTAAGAAAGAGCTCGTCATGTACGAGAGCTCACCTTGTATATATTGTAAATAAACCTCCTTCAAGGCTCTTCCTCATGCCCCGACAACTTCGTCCCAGACCTCCGGTGCCTGCAAACCCCGGTCGCAACACTACCCCAAAAATTATTATTAATGCCCTAGTGGGTATCAAGCAGGTGTGCTTAGTTATCCAATGAGTGTTTTGAAAAAGCTCTGAAAGGCCGCTCTTCCAGCTTTCGCTGTGACTGTGCTGCGCCTACCGCGCAGGCCTGGCGTTTTTTGGCAAGCCTAGCTGAATGATTGAAATTAAGAATTCTTGTACAGACATGCATAAATTTTCGCTTTTTTTTTTCTCAGGATCGGTACTGTACAGCAACAACTTCCAATCAAGTTATAAACTTATACGATTAAAAAAAAAAGCAGGTACAGAGCACACGAGGTTAGAATCTAAAAAATTCTCCAGAGCGTAATGTGAGACGTTAACGCAGCGGTTATGCTTGTGAACGACACATTCCAAACAAAAAAGAAAAGAAAGAAATCAGATTTCACGCAAAGTGGCACTCCATATATTATTAGTAGTATATTATAAATTGTAGTATTACTCCTCGTCCCAACCGAAAAAAAAGCGGTCGACGATTTCGACATCGGCTAATGCGAATTCTGCACGCAGCTGTTTTTATTTTGCGATAAGTTGAGGCGCGACTGCCAAAGCGGGAAACCGCGGACGGCGGCACTTGAGCGCGTTCCACAACAGCCACCGCAGACAGGCCTTCGTTAGAGGATTTTAGTCTGGCCGGCCCACCGCTATGCGCAAAACGGTTTGCGGATACCGGTTTACCGGGTGTCAGCTGCGCATGCGCGTGCCTCACGTTCGTTTACCGGATCCGCTCAAACACCCGACGTCTCTATGTTCGGCCGCTCTGACATATACTAACGTTGGTCTAATGGAGACATTATGGGCGAGTAGAGTACATGGAAAAACAAAAGTATTATGCAATTTTCTGCGAAAGATACTTCACGTAGCACAAAATTATTTTAGGTGCTGTCTTTCGGCTCCATAGATTAGATTTAAATGCCTCAAATTTACTTTCTTTAGGGGCTTTTTTCTCTTAACCACTGTAACGGGAAGGTTACCGATGTCTTGTAGAAGTTTGTTAAAGGATCAAAGAGATTTAAATCGTAGAATCAATTGATACCTTTTTTTATTTTCCACACTTTTTTTTTAATTGTCCACCTCACAATTTACATGCGAGCGTTTTATTTCTCTATCTTTAATCATTTCATTTTTTATTATTGCTTCTTTCAACTTTAAATAGACAAAATGTAACTTAATATTTAGGAATTTTCTTTTAAAACTACCCGGTTCACGGCCAATCCCCCAACGTGGGTTTGTGCCACGGTTTCAAGAGCCTACTGCAAGTGGACAATACTAGCGCGCACTGTCGCGAAATAATTGCTGCAGAAGAGGAAGACAACGTAAGGCACGCGCAACTTTTGAGCCTCTGGAACAACATGGAGCCGAGTCCAAGTGCCCTGTATCAGGAGTCCGGCGAGCGGAGCAGTTCTTCCGAGGCCAAGTACAGAGTGGTACGCACGCAATCTCCTCCGCACATCGTCCAGACGACGCACACCCGGCTTCCTTACGTGGTCGTGTGTACGGTCGGTGTGATCATGGTGCTGGTGGGTGTGGCCTTGTCTACCTACAAACTGCAAAACGGACCCACCTTCCTCGAGCTCTTCAACCGCTCCATTTCGCTGCTCGTCTACAACAACTCTACAACAGCTCAGCACGGCAGCGAAGCAAATGCACAGGCGGCCAGGCATTTGCTGAAGCACGAGGTCAAGCTTGGCGGCTCCGACGCGAAGTGCAAGACAGACGCGTGTATTTGGATGGAACGATACCTGCGGGGCAAGCTCAACACCAGCGTAAGCCCCTGCGTGGACTTCTACGCATACGTCTGCTCGTCAAAGTGGTATGCCAAAGACTTAGACATAAGGGACAGACCTTACGAAGAGCGCAGCACAGGCTTGTTGATGCTTGAGGTAGAGAAGTTTTTTCGCAGCTACCTGAAGCAGAACGAAGAACGCTACCATAAGTATCCCGGAGTTTTTTTGCACCAGGCTATTTCCCTCCTTCCAAAGTGTCAGTCCGAAGAGAAAGAGGACAAAGATTTCACTTCACTGAGAAGCTTTCTTGAAGAGTACAATTTGGGAAGCTGGCCTTACAGAAGGGCGCCGCGGGGCGTCAATATTGTGACCATTTCTGCATTCGTCGATCGGGACATGGGTGTGTTCCCTTTTGCGCGAGTGTACGTAAAGAAGCCATTCGAGGATGATCGAGGCTACACTGTTCATCTAGACAAGCCTAGTTCCACACTTGAGAGACATCAGCTGGCCTTCTTGTCTGAATCCGTGGAAAACTACACAGACAAAGTGGCGCTAGCGCTTTCACTCTTCGAGAAGAGGCGAGATGTGAGTGAGCAAGCTGATGCTGTAGTTGCGCTAGAAAAAAAATTGGCTTCTGCAATGCCGCTCTCCAAATTTACAGAATTCCAAGACAGAATTAAGCGCATTGGACAGCTTGACCGCAGGGGCAAGTGGGACTGGAAAGAATACTTGAATATTGTCTTTCAAGACATTGAGGTATTTGACAGTGAGAAGCATGTGTGCATCATGCACCAGGATTATCTCCTCAAAATGGCGTCAATTGTCAATGAAACTGAGACTGTAACTTTGCTAAATTACATCGGCTATCGTCTAGTGGTGCACATTTCTCCTTTGCTGGCCAAGCCTGCCGGTCATCTACTACGACTGAGCCATGAAAACTACCGAGAATTCGTGCCTGACCGACTCCAAGCTTGCATGCACCTTTTGGAAAGAGTTTACAAACAAGGTATGCGCTTCTTTGCTAGGATGACTTTCAGCAAGGATAACTCCACACTGCTACTCAAGCACTTCGACTACAGCATGTCCAACATTGAAATTCAACTCAAGAGCACTATGGCAGATCGACTGCTCTCGACGTCATCCTGGCTAGATCGTTCAGCTATAGGAATAGGCGTGGACAAGCTAGAGAACATGAGACTTGCTTTTCTAGGAAGCACAGAAGACATCAACACTGTCGCAAGGTACTATAATTTCAACGCTCAGCCACTGGACCCTACTCATCTCCTGGAGAGTTTCCGAGAAGTTCAGGCAGGCACGATGAACATCTACTGGGAATCCAAGCCTCCGAAGGACGACTTGGACGCGAGATACGACCACTCAGCATTGATCCCTGGTTACGAGTACTTCTTCGGTCGGAACGTGTTGTTTATTCCGCACGGAAATATAGCTTTTGCTAATGGGATAAGCAAAAACATCGACCCTATCTTGTATCCTCTTCTGCTCCCCAACGTGCTTCGGGGCATGTTTTCAGCTGTAGACCGTCGAGGCGCGACTGTAGACCACAACCTGGCCGTATCAACTTGGTGGAACACGGATGAATTGAGCAAGTTCTCTCAGATGGAGCTTTGTTTCCAGGACCAATACTACATTGAGATACGGGAGCTTGTTGGCGACACTTTCGACGCGCGGATAAGGCTGGACGAAAATATCGCAGACAACGCGATACTTGCACCGCTGCACGATCTTTACTTAAAGACTATGGTATCACAGAGCATCACGATCGACAAACAGAAGCTTACTTTAGACATTGGCGACATAGACATGCACAAGCTGTTCTTCATCACATACGCACTTGGCCTCTGTGATAATCCAAGTAAGCAGTCGTCGATGCGCAAGGTGAAATATGAGAGGATTCCTGGCAGGCTTCGCATCAACATACCACTGATGAACTTCGCAAAGTTCGCAACAACGTTTAACTGCCCCGTGAACTCCCCCATGAACCCCGCCAGAAAGTGTACAGTGTGGTAGTTCACAGGCCTCTACGCAAGCAACACCGGTCATGATTCGGAGCAAGGCACGCGGAGACATCTTACTTGTTTCCATCATTGCTCACCATGCACAAATTCATTGACAGACATTGGAGGCGTGAAAAGCGCTACTTCTGAGGGAAAAAAAAAGTTATAGAAGTGCAGTAGAGTGGTTGTCATCTCTTTCTTTATTTTTGCTCTTTAATGTGTAGAATTGTTTGCCAAATCGGTCCGAAAATTCTGACCGACTGTGGCCTAAGACAAATGTACGCTGATCGCGGAAATTGTGCAAAACCGGGTGGACTTGCGGCCGTCTTTTCCTTTGAAGTGAGTATTCTGGAGTTGTGAAACATCACATATCACAAAAGCCAGCGGTTGTGGTGATAACGACGTATACCTGCGAGTCATACGGCCTAACAGGCACAACAGGAAGCGAGAGTACGAAATACTAGACACACAAGAGGTAAAGGGAAGTGTATGGAGGGAATGTGGGATAGCACAGTGCTGTCTTTTATACCGTGAGCAATTGCAAACTTACGCGTGCAAAGCAGCCACAAGGCCAGCAGAAGTAAGCAGCACGGATATAATGCTAAGCATATCCCGAACGAGTCATGAGATGTAAACTATATTTGCGAATCAAAAGGATTCGAGTCCGGCGGTTCTGCTTACTTTAACCGTAATATTCACATCACTGTTCAAGGCCCCGCTTGCCTTGGCAACCTGTAGCCAAGCAAACTGTGGCGATCGAAACTGATCATGCAAAGCGCGCACTAGCGCGACCCTTCTACTACGTCAGACCAGAACTACCCGTCACATGGGATGAATATACATTTGAATGACATAGCGCCTTCATTCAAATTCATCATTCAATTTTCAGTCAGCCCACCACTATCCGTGACGAGGTAGTGACATAGGAATCAAGGCACGTCGACTCAAATTCTGGCCAGCAAAAACTGCAAGTTGTCTGAACCACGACATGTATAAATGTGCTGGCGAGGCACAACAGCATGGTAATGAATTACAAGAGCCGAACAAGTTTTTTATTTTTATTATGTTGCCAACTAAAGACCCGACGTTTAATTTCACAGGTTCATTTGTAGCATTTCGGTGGTGTTGTCAAACGATTCTAATGCACAGAACATTCCATGCTAAAGAGAAATTTATTGTGCGTGACTGTAAAATACTATCAAATCTCGTTTGGCACTGTAACTTTACCAGAGCAATAAGGCCACCAAGACTAAAAAAGGGTTTAAGGCACATTTACTCGGTGCAGTGCCTCCATCCATGCGCAGCCTCTTCAGGGGCGATGCCACCGGGAGGCATGGGTAGTTTGGAGCTCCCCTCCCATAGAAAGTACAGTCAAAACACAAAGCATATGTTCCCAGAAAGAACTCGCTTGTCGTGAGTTCTTTCAGTTAGGCTGGGAACATATGCGTTGTGTTTTGACTATAAGGCTACCCCCACCCCCCTTCCGCAGTAAAAAAAAAAAATCCTGGCACCGCTCCTGAGCCTCCTACGCGGACACACCTACACATATTACACAACGCTGTCGTCGAGAAGGGCTCAAAGACTGGTCTAGAGGACGTATAACCTGAGATTCCGGGTTGCGTCCTACCGCATAAGGGAATCTTAGACGCGTGCACAAACAAGGTCATCATAATATAATAGTTCATCATGGCTCACTATAAAGACATGCTGCTTCAGCAGACAAAGTCAGCATCGGAACACAAAAGAAACACTGATTGTGTTGAAAAGACACGAGTAATAAACAGCTCATTACTTTACTTTGTATACAAAGCAAATTTGCATGTGTAAAGGGCGGACTTTCGAAGAAAAGAAAACCACGAGTAAATTAGAACGACTGTAATATCTGAATACCACTCTTTTACCAATTTTTAAAATCTCAGTATTGTTTGCCAACTAACCTAAATTTTATGGGCTGCTAACTACGGCAATTTTTACGCAAAACGAATTTCACTTTTTTTTTAGTAAGTGCCATCGGAGACTGTCATGGCGACAACTTCTTGTTGTTTAACGCGACGAAGCTTGCTTGACTAAAGAATAGTTGGCAGGCGGTGGGACCTGTAACCGCAGATTGCAGCCCTCCCCCTCTAGTTTGGAAAATTAGCATCCTGTTGCTGACGTGTCCGACAGTTAGCAAAGCGTGCAGCCGTCATCGACACCTCTTGTCAGGAGGTTCGAGGAAGTGATGCAGAACTATCAAGAAATTCAGAATCGATAACATCGATGCTTTTTTTTCAACTATTGATAAACAAACCATTGAAAATTGATAGTACGATTGACTGCATATTATTTGTAGTAGTATTCCTAGCAAAATTACTATCGATAGTGCTGTGAATAACTGTGGTTGCTGGACGGCGACATTACCAAGGCATTTATTTACGATAGCCTCACCAATATGATAGTCCCCACGGCGAGATAAGTAAGCGCACGCGTGAGCGTCCATTGTGCCCCTCTCCAAGGGGGCAAAGTACGCGTGGGAGATGAAAGCGCGCGCCGCAGTGTCGTGACGATGTGGTACGCGCTCATTCCACCATCTTGCGGGTAATGCTGAAAACACAATAGCGGCCCACCCCTTCCCCGAGATGCCCATCACCAGAGATAAGTGCTAGACATAAATAGCTTGCGGTTCGAACGTTGAAGGAGATGCTCCTTCGTGGCTCAGTAGCTAACGCTTGCCGCACACAATTTACAGGTCCGACGTTCGATTCCGCGCGCCGGAGTCTTCTACTAGACTATATTTCTTTATTGTGTTTTGATACATATAGATACATATACGGCGAGTGCTGGCGGCAAGATACAGCCGAAAGAGTCCATATAACTGCTATCGCAACAAAAATTTTTTGGGGTGTCAGAACCCTCTCTCTTTAGTTACGGCCCTGCCTGAGACGTGCTTTCCCGCTTCAGTGACGCTGAACGAGCTCTATTCAAATAGAAGAACCCGTGGGCGGTGAAGACTGAAACAATATGGGTGCTTTGAGCGTGTCCTTCTCAGGCAAAAAAAAAAAAAACACATGGCGTAAGCAACCAAAGCCCGACAACAGAGCGAGAGAGGTGACGAACAATAGCCTTCGCCGGAGCCAGTCGGGGTATCGTGCACGCCCTGCAATTGTTCTCTGATGTCGACAATACTTGATTGACCGCCCGGGGGCCCATCTACGTCAAACCACAAAAAATGTCGACTGGACCAAAATTACTCGGGTGAGCCCACACCCTTACTTTAAAACCAAATTTAATATCTCATAGGCAGCACTCGCCACTAATAATCGGTCAAAAGTGCCCCGCATGCAGGACTCGTAAAACAACACAAGCATCTCGAGTTTCCATATTTGTTGTCAGGGGTCCTTTACCATGCACTGACAAGAGCACAGCATATGGGCCTCTACCATTTCGCCTCTATCGAAATGCGACAGCCGTGGCTTTTATACAATCGATAGTACTATCAAACTTACTATTGAGAGTGTTATCGTGTTTTTTCTTTTTATCCTTGACGGTGACATAAGTATCGATGGCATCGAAAGCACCATCCGTAATTCGAGGAGAACACGCCAGATTATTGGACTAGGTGCTTGTGCACGTTCTGTGTGATGTGCTTTTTGTCCCTTTCCTCTCCTTTCAATCTCTCCCATTCCTTTCCCACATGTAGGGTAACAAACCGGTTATCCTGGACATCCCTACTTTTCCTTCTCTACCATTCTCTTCTTCTCTTGGCCTCCCAGTAACAATAGGTCCGTTCGATTCACCTGCACCAGTTGGAACCAGTTCACAGCTGTGCAGGCAAAGTTAAGAAATTGTGCAGCACGAGTTCAGCGGTGCAGGCAGAGCACGACAACCAAAATGAATCACGATGTGCCGACAAGGTGCAGGACTTATTTCTGTTCGTTTAATACACACTGTTCAGCTAACACCGACCGATGGCGAATCGCACATGCGGATGCAAACATCTTGGCAAAACAAACCGCATTAGTAGTTGCAGGTACGGCACCTACACCTAAGTGCTGCGTCGTCTGCTCAGCTACACGAGTAGCTGCACCAAGCCGGCACCGTCAGCGTAGAAGGGGCAGGAAAATCGTGAACCAGTGCTGCACCTCTTCTGCACCTTTCGAAACAAATTGCAGGGTTCAGAGGTCGTCAATGCTGCACCACTGAAACGAATGGCAAGGTGCAGCACCTCATGAACTGGTTCATGTGGTGCAGGCGAATCGAATGGGCCTAATGTTTAATGCTTCTAGTTTGGATGCAATGCAGTTTTTTATTTTTTAATTTTACCTGCCTGATTCCCATACTTGAGGTTTCGCACTCAGGTTAACTTGTCTCTATAATTTTTCTTCCGTTCTTGAGGTAGTTATTAATGCCATAAAAAAGTGGGCACACTGAATCTTATTCATAAGCAATGGTGACAGTAATGAGAAATTTTCTTGAATTTACTTACTTGAAGTGATTCACATTAATAAATTACCAGCACACATAAGTAATTATTTGCATTACTCAATACAGCAAAAAAAAAAAAAAAAAAAGACTCAAGCACTGCAATTCCATTGCTGAATTGTCACTTTTACCAAGTCTGCCACTAAGTAGCACGGTAGTTGCAAAACGGATTCACGAGGCGGGAGTAATCCAAAAGTGCCACGAATGTAAATGTACGTGACGTTAAAAAAAAAGCATGAATCAACCAACATCATGAGCCTCTGGCATTGGGCGAATGTTGCAGAAAAGGGGGAACGTTCAGAGCCATGATTTCAAAAAAACAAATTAAATGAACTAATCAAATGCATGTCGTATGGCTTGAGCATTGCGCACCATCGCCAGTAATTGTATTACACATCATCAAGGACACAACCGATTGCGGACACGCACGAAGCCGGTGGCGAGTACAAAAAGACAGGCAGTCTAGCAAGAGATAACAAACTTCACACCATTTTGACAAGATGTCTAAATTAAGCAATTTGTACAAAACTTAATGCCTCGCAATGTGAACACACACACAGATACACATGCACACAACAATAAATAAAGCAGTTTTGAACCTCCCACGCAACCACATACAAGTGTGCACTGAAGCAGCGTTCTTACACAGCGCCTTCCTCGGGCTGTTCAAATATCTCTTCATCATCCTCTTGGCCTTGAAGAGCATCTATAATAGCATCAAAGCGCGCATTTATACGCTCTTCCATTTCCTGAATTTTCCCGTCAAGTTTCTCGGCCATTTCGACTTTCAGTTCTTCAAAGCGTCGGTCGACCAGGTTCAGCAACTGATCTTGCAGACCTTGAAACAAGGCTCCGACCACGTCGCGTGTTTCGTCCCTGCGAAATCCCAAATAAACAGCAGGTGCACACAGTTACTGTCATGCCAACCTAGTCTTCAATTATGGATTTTCCCTGCCGCTCTCCTACACAAAGCACCAAGATACACCTTTGAGTTCCGAGTTTTTCACGGACATTCCACCCTAGTCTTTTGAGTTTGTTAGTGTTTTTTTTTCATTTCTTTTTTCTTTTTCAATGCTCCTTTTCAACGAAATATTAATAATGAAAACAAAAAGTCCGCGAGATGGCAGATTGCGTTACGGCTCATGATGCCACCTGCCCATGCATCGTACAGGCAAGTCCCCTCAACACCTCTGTCCTTTTTCCTGACCGCGGGTTCAGCTCTGTTTCCCTGAAACCCAATAGCTGACTACCAAGATACAGAGACCTACAAACTGGTCAAAAACCAGCTAAAGCCCGACGCTAAGCTAACAAGGAAAGTTGGACGAACAACAGCCCGCCCAGCCCAAAAGAAGAAAAAAGCCCAGGCATAGCCCCACCTGGGCTTCAGCACTTTTTCCTTAACTAAAGGCAGAAATACTTGCCCGGACACTTGAAAGGCACTGGACATTGACCTAGAGAAATTGATGCTTCACTTTCTACCACCAGAACAGACTTCTGTTCAGTTTTTTGCAGAAGCTAGTAGTAGCCGGTTGAAATTTACGTTCTAGTGGAATCAGTAACGTTAGTTGCCATGTTGGATGTCACTTTATTTGGTTCCGAAGACGGTCAGCGGGAAGTACTGCAGATTGGGCAAGTAGGTGCACTATAATAACGTATTGCTACAGCTCAGTTTGAGCATGAAGAGCAACATTTAGCATTCAGTGGGACCATGCGCTTCACGGGAAACTAGTTACTCCACCGCCGTCACCCCGTCCACAGAGTTAAATGTCCTGTGAAGCACTGTCACTGCCCGACTCCGCGACAGAAACTTGACTATAAAAATGCAAATTAACCATGCTCTTTAAACAATGACGGTACAGGTATGACTCAGTAACTGTTTGTTACTGCCGCATGATGAAGTTACGCCGCATGACGAAGTTACATTGCAGAAAAAAAAAATGTGAGGGTAAGCTCATGCCCACAAAGCGCCCTCAGCGGAGCCCATCGTTCGCTAGTGTTATGACCGTCACCATTATTGAAGTTCTTTGGCCTTTGTGAACTGGACTAAAGTATTTTGACGCATTCCAAGCAAGGATGTGCAGTCAAGACAGGTTGATTTCCTGTCAGCAAAACGTGAACAAAGGGTTCCAGGATCGGTTCGCGCAAAAAAAAATGCACGAGCCAAGAAAGGCCATTGTGAGCTCGACTCTATGCAAGGCTTTCAAGGCAACCAAGGAGGCAGCTAGGCCATTTTCGAGGTCACCGTGGATCCGGAGAGACCGGAACCAGCGTGGTGTTTACACTTTGGGCTGAAAGCCAAAACCCAAACCGGTTGTGGCTGCACCTTGCGAGGAGAAGCGAAGTCCCGGAAATTCGCAGCTATGCCGCACCTTTTAGCAAACAACGAGGAATGGAATGTGTGGTTGAAGGCAAGGAAAAAGGCACTATTTGCTGCAGCCCTTGCGGGAGCCCGCATCAGCGCCTCGACGACGAGGGATTAGTCGACTCCTCCTCCTTCTCTCTTTCTCCATAGGATCGGCTGAATGGAGTGGCATGTTTTGGCGATAAGCTGGTGGACCACTACATTGTCCTACCCGAACCCAGTAAGGCAAGTTTGGCACGTGTACCGGGAGGCGGTTCTTTGAACCTCACCCAACTGCCAGAAGAGCTCTTGGAAACCAACGTCATCTAAGATCATTGGACGTGCGCGAAATCTTGGTGACGGTTGCGAAACGTTGGTGCAGTGCATTTGTGACCATATTTGCACATTGTGTAGACTGTGCCCTCTCCACGTGCATTGTGTAGTGTCTTTCTACGCCTTCGCGGGTGGAGCACCTAGACCATTGAGCGCCGTATTGGCTGAAGCCGCAGACAATACGCCCAGGGTTGGCAACGCGACGCTATATAAGCGGAAGACTTTTGTATATTTTCAGTTCAACAGTTCTCCTGTACAGTTCTTGACTTCTAGTTGATACTTTATCACCTCCCTTCAAATTCTCAGTTACTAACCATGTAAATAAATTGTCGTTCTTACGAGCGCCTCATTTGACTTGTTCGACGATGGGTCCTAGGACGGGGGCCCACTACCAAACTGAGACCCGCAGGTCCCAGAATCGCAACACTAGGCTCTTCCTCAAGTTAGCGAACTTCAGATGAAGCATGTTCTACGGCTCATCTTATGGGAGGCGTGTCGCACACTTCTAAATTTTATTATTTCCTCGGTTGCTTGCTGCAACGTTGCCGCTCGCGCATGTTAAAGCGACGCTAGTCAAAGTGAAATAATGGATCAGTTTAGATTGACAAATTTTACTTTAAAAGCATTGGTGTCATTAATTTCAATGTCATAGTTTTAATAATAAGTAAGAAAATTGCGATTAAACTTTCAGTTTAAAATTTCGTGCCATATTCTCCGTGCGTGATGTCACGGATTTTAATGTGTACTTCTTATTTCCGCGACATTAGATCAACAAAATTCTTTTAAACTTGATATTGTAAGTATCAGGCTACCTTAAAGGAGAGAGAACTTCATTTTTACCGATTAAGAACAATGTAGAATGTAGGCCCAAGTAGGTGCCGTTGAAATCTAAGACGTCATGGCAACTGGTCTGGGAATTTCAAAGTGACGTTGCCACCCTTTTTTTGTGTGTGTGTGTGACTGCGTTTTCTCGCTTACCCCATCTTGAATCTTTGTTGCATCACAGATGCACCACAACCATGCTTGAGGTTTGGTGCTCAGGTTAACTTGTCTGTTACTTTTCTTTGCTTTCTTGGTCAATTTTTCATGCCATGCTACATAGAAATGCTATATCTCAGTCAAAAAATATTCGAAACTAATTTAGATAAGAAGCTAGTTGCCTCAGCATCACCAGTAAAGAGAAGAGGCACAAAAAAGAGAATGGCTTTTTTTTCTTGAGCTTCCGATTTCCACTGGTGGTGCCTTGGAATTTCAAGTTTTCTCGAAGTTATGTACCAAGTAGCCCAGGAACAAGTTCTTCTCAGTGAATAATTTCTTTTAATTAGTTGTTTCGAGTAAAACATCAGATTACTAAATTGGCAGCCCGCAAGAGCAATCAGTACATTACTTATTACAAAAAAAAAGTAATTTACTATAATTTCATTACTGCCAAGTATGCTATCACCAAACCATATATCCACAGGAAGGTTTAGTCAAGCAATTTTTTTTTTCATGCTCAACAAGTGACCACTTCAAAGAAGCTTTCCACAATGTCTTCTGCACCAGGGGTTTGCCTTCTTTATCGCTTTAGCTTCACGCTTTCGCAAAGACTTAAGTGTCCCCAGCTCACACCATGCCTGAGAGGTCATGTTATTTTTCATACCGTGTACCTCGGCTGTGCTCATGACAACTTTTATTTAAAGGCCACACGGGGCATAAAACACTGCCACTTTAATTCTGCTTCCTATCATCTCCCGCATGCAATAAGTATTGACTGAAAAATTGTCCATAATTTTAAAGGGACACTAAAGTCAAATAACAATTTATCTCAGTGTGAACGCACAATGCATGACAACATCTGAAACGACAATATTATCAACAATAGTGCCCCACTTAACGAGAAATTAAGGTAAATGCTCAAGAACAGATCCGCTGCAGTAGGACCTTCTCAAAATGATCCCAATGACATCAGGCGGACCGCCTAAAATTAATCACTAGTAAACGATCTAGCTGCATTAAATAAAGAACCTTCCGTGCATCAAGAGACCTAATAAAATGCTGCTTGTTTGTTTCTGTTTGATTCACAAAAAAAAAGAACCGCCGGACGTTACTATGGGGAATGGCACGAGTGGTTCACAAATTCAATTTTCGCGTAGTTACACTGGACAGGTGGTGCCATCTAGCAGGGCGCAGTTAAACAAAAAAACCTCTGCAATTTCAGAGCCAATGGTGGGAGATTGATCAATGGCAATTGTTGCTGCTGTGGCTCCCGCTGCTTTCGGTATGCTGCTACTAGCGCAGTAAAGCCGGGCAACGTCGTGCACAGCAACAGTGAAGTGAGTCGGCCTGGTCGGTCCACTTCTTCAGGCGGGCAATTTGAAGTGCGCTAACCTGATGCCGACCACTAAAACGTAATTTTATTTAAAAAAAAGGTACTTCCTTGGCACAAAAGTAACACTATGAGGTTTCTGGACCGCTACTTCAACAATCAATGTCGACTTAATAGTTGCCTTTGGTGTCCCTTTAAGACTGCTTGTCAATTGGACAGTTCATAGACAATGCCAATGGTGACTTTAAGTTGCATTGTCTTCGCTGATGATGGCAAGTCTTGTAGACAAACAGAACGGAGGCAAATTCAATACCACTGCACATTTAAATAACATTTTAAAACAATACATGCATCACAGGCAATTTCTTGTATCAGCTTTTAATTATTTAATTATCATTCCTTGCAGCTTTCCCTTCTCACCACTGCTGCACTGCAAGTACAAATTGCAAACAATAAGTGCAAAATCCAATTTAAAAACTCATTTTTCCTAAATGCCCTAAAACCAGCATATGAAAAGAGGTTAGGGGACCAAAACTTTCAGGGCACCAATTTGAAAACTAATCATTTAGTATAGTAAGCCCTCATTAATTCAAACTGACGCCCTGTTCCTGGCACAGCCCCGAGAATTTCTATGAGGGGAAACTCCTGGTAATTCGAATGTGTTGGTAATCACAATGGTTAATTAGAACTGGGAGCCCCTGGTTGTCATTAATCTTTGCAGAACTCGGCTGAGTGATCACAATGTGTTGCGAAATCAAACCAAACTAAATTTACTAGAGATGCAAAACAGCAGCATTTTTCAACAGTTGAGATTTCGGATGCTGTGCTCAAGCTCTTGAACAGCAAACAATGCTCATGGGGTAGCAATGGCAAAAAACACAGGCAAATGACCGA